TTAGGATACTTATCGAGTACGTAATAAAGTTTAGGACACTTATCGCGTATATAGCGAATGTTAGAAAGCATTACGAAATCGTTGAAAGTCCGACATAAAATATTATTTAGAGAATATTGAAGCCCAATAGACAATGCTACTATGAATTTTTGTTCGCACAAACCTGGTGTCCTAATAAAGACACTATATTCCAACCATAATGGCTCGCTTATCAGCCCCCAAATACACAATCCCCCCCTAGCTTCCGTCATCCAGCTCTCCACTGACGCAAACCAGATCCGAAAAACAACAAATCCCAAAAGAATCGATAATTCCGTCTGAAAAAAAAAAAAAAAGCAAAAACTACATACCACGACCGTTCCAACCACTCTGACCATTTAAAACGTCCGACAAACGAACATTCATGGGAATCCTACCGCAATATGTCGCTCAGAGAATCATCATACCCTGGCCCATCGACAGAAACGCGAGACCAGAATGTGAATTCTGAAACCAACCATCGGGCCCGCTCAAAGCCAGACTGCGACATGCTCCTAGTCAGTCGTGGTGTCTGTAAACCGAAAAAAGGTTGACGGTTATTTCACAATGTGATCCTGTTGCTGGCTGCGCGTCGAAGTGGCAATCGGCCGACAGAATCCTCGGTTTCTATGCCGAGCTCGCACGGACACATTTCGCGGATTGCGCCAGCTGGCTAGGCGATTTCGTGTTGCGTCCCGTTCTCTCTGCCATCCGAGCCCCCCCCCCCCTCCTTCCACCCTTGATGGGCGTTGCTCCATCGTAACGCGATATGTTTGTGCACTCGTGCACCGATTGCGGGTGTGTGCACGTCGGCCGGACGTGCACGTATACAGGCCTCGTGTGGTTCATCCTTAATGGTACTTAATAGTCGATAAAATATTTCGCAAAAATGCTTTCATATTATTGTAACCTAGATCGATGTAACAGCAAATAAGTGACACGTTAAATTTAAAAAAAAAAATTGACTCAAACTAAACGGAAATGGTTGCCAAAACGGAATAAGGTTTGTGCAGCCAATTTGCTGCGTATGTTGCTGCCAATGTGCACGCAAGTTGTTATCTAGCAATGTTAGAATAGAAATGATGTCACCGGGAATGTATAATATGTGTTCCACGAGGAACAAAAGAAAAAACTGCGATTCGAGAGTTCTTTCTTACGTCATCGCCTTATCGATGAAGGGGCAGAGACACCGAGCCACGCGGCTCGTCTGTGCGAGGTCGTCTTAATGGTGGAATGGTAGCGATGTCACCGGGAACGTGTAAGCGTAACAGAAAAAGACTGTAATTCGACCATTTTTAATCGAAATAGGTTCGAAAATCGTCGAAGTGCAACATATTAAAATAATATTGTTTATCAAAAGAAATCTTGAAATGACGGGTTCTTGGTTTTATGAAAAATATTTTTGTACAAGATACGACAAAGATGCAGTGAGAGGGTTCAATATTTGGTGGAAGAACGTGTACGAATAGGGGGAAAATAAATATGATTCCGAAAGAAATATGATAGAATTAGTTAAAGAGTATAGGAAGAAAAATGTAAAAGTTGAGAAAGAATATGAAAATTAATTGAGGTGGACAATGCGAGCAGAAATATTACAGATAAACAAATCGAGTGTGAACCACAGAATCGATCTTCCACTCGAAGAGAGGGGGGGAAACCGGAAGTGGCGCTCGTACGAGAAGATTTACGATCTTCCGAGTGTGTCTCGTTGCTTGGTTTCTTGCTCGGTATACCCACCCCGCCTACGAGCGCCAGTAGATTACGATGCTTTTTCCACCGTGAACCATCCTGTACGCGTCCCCCTAGGCCTGGGGGATTTATCGATTTATACAAACAATAAGGAAATCCTCGAACGAGCCAAGATGTCGAGGAATAGATCCGCCATTCGCCAGACCACTCTCGAGCATTTTCTTTATTTAATTATTTTTTATTTTCGAAAATATTTCTGCGATCTGTACACCCTACAAGATGATTCATCGTTCGTTTGATTTCCATCGGGTGAATTTGAAATTTCTGAAAAAGTAAGTACATACGCGCTTGTTATTTGCCCGCCACGAACCACACCAGGAAGACGGTGAATCTTCTCGTTTTTGGTGGCCGCGGGATATAGGGTGAACCCGCGTCGACACCTCAGGCTTAATTAATTTTAAAGAAAGTTAAAGTCAGGTGACGTGCAGCCGGGAACGCGGGCGAACGCACTCGAGCGGAGCCCTCGTTCCTCGGTAACGTAATACGGAGTCGGACTACCTGACCGATCTGACAGTAAGCTCGAAACAAAATCGAATCGGTGCACACAGCCGAATCTCGTTTATAAACAAGTGTACCAACCCCCCCCCTCCTGTTTTCCGCTACGACACACATATGAAGGTAAAAAGAAAATAAAGAAGAAAATCATTGTCTTAATCTTTAAAGGTATAGATAGTAAGCACGTTTCTGACAAATGTGTCGTTTTTTTGTCAAAAAAAGGAAAGCTTGTCTCCATTTTCTTGTTCAACACGTCGAAGGTGTACAAACTCCTTTTTATAAAAACGACTGATAGATTTTTTCATACTAATCGACCCCGATAATTTAATCCTAAAACAAAGCGTCATAACAAAATCGTGCTGTACGTATACAAATACATAAAATCGGTCTAACGATCACCGAAGATATCTCAGCCAGTCGTATTTCACGACGGACTCGGAACAGGATCGTTTCATTTTTCCGTTTCGACTTGCGCGAACCTTTCGGCGCGTAGCATCTCGCCGTAATCCGTCGAGAGACGCTGTTTTTAATGGTATTAATATTTCCACGCGCATGAATTCGAAGGGAATAAATTCCGTGGGCTTTAATAGGTTCTCTGTCTCGTGTTTCCGTCGGTGATCGTAAAACGTAGCGGAGAGCCAAAGCTCTCCATCGGGAGTGAAGGGTAGGGGGAGCATGCTCCTGCCCGGAAACAAACGTCAACGGCGAACAGATCGATGATCCGCGTCCATGGAAACCGCGGATGGACCAATGCGGGTCGCCCTGCCCCGCTCTCCTCTTTCCGAGCCGCGGCGCCGCGTGTCCGCCTTTTTGCTCCGGGCCGAACTGCTAGGAACAGGCGAAAGATAACCGTCTGAGGCCGAAAACGACGACAACGACGACGGCGAAACCGAACAATATTTTTATTCGAACGGCGACGGGACACGAGCAATATTTACAATTTCGATCGCGAGCGACAACAGTCACCCCCTTTGACACGTTGCAGTGGAAAAGGCCGTACGTAACCAGACACGCTTTATTTCATTTTGTTTTTTATGTCATAGGTTGAAAATGTATGGGTTTAATTAATAGAGGGTGTTGGTATTGTTTGAAATTATACTGCGATATTGATTTTACGAAAAAATTTTGTAACGGTATTTATTTTATTTTATCCATATACTGTGACTGGCGTGGCGGTTATAGTGTTAATCGAGCATACGGACAATATCATGCTTTTACGCTGGGAATTGTAGGTGATACCATATGTGTATTTGTACAGGCTATTGTATACTTTTGAGTATTGCCAGTGTACCGGAATGATTTTCAAACGGGGGTTGAAATTCAAATATTGTCACTAATGGTGATAAAGTAGGCATCTACTGTAGTGGACAGGTGCAGTTAGCAGATTATAGACGGCAGTGCCTGTAACACGTGCAAAATTCTCCGTATACGAGTGTTTTTTTTCTTTTCAAGCACCCCGATAGTTCAGACACAATCCACGCCACTATCCCCGCGTAAGCGGTCTGTCTTCTTCGTGTCTGCTCATTAAGACATCATTCCCCCGCTGTCTGTGGCAACTTTGTGCAATCAAAGTGCACAGACTCGCGGCTAAATTACTCCTGGAGGGTATCGAGAGAAAACTTGGCTCGTTAACGCGACGCCATGAATCCCGAGGCTGTACTTCCGAATTCCCCTGTTTTCGCGTCGGACTAACAAACCTTCCGTTCTCGACTGGCAACCGACTGAGCGAGCGCGCACGCGCACACACGTGTCCGATTTTAATTGGTGAAAAGTAATATCCGTTATAGAATGATATTTGAGAATAATGGGAATCGTGATTGTAACGATTTTTTTATTTTTTTTTTTTTTGGTTTGTAATATCGGTGAGCCCTTCATATAACACGATCAGAAAACCTTCGAATAACACGGTGTTTCTGTAACAGTGTAAGCATAACCTGACCTTGTTTTTTTTTGCATGTAATGTACACACATATTCAGTTTCCTGTAACACGAATTCGCATAATACGACAATGTTTAAAGAATCTTACCACCGTGTTACACGAGGGTTTTCCTGTATTCCGTTTTTTTTCCGAAATTTGTCACAATTTCTTGTTGTCCGGATGAATCGTATTTGGGAAAATCGGGTTTCGGGTTCTCTTTTTTCAGCGAAAATTGTCAAACTTCGTGGCCATCGAATCGATTGTACGATCGACGTGTCGACCGTTCATTGTCTTTCGATAATCGGTTTCAATAAACGCTGGTAGACAGGAATCATGTGATCGATCGAAATCCTTTATTCTCGTGTAAATTTCATACGTCTGCGATGTGAACCGACGGAAGTTCCTCCAGGGAATCAAGAGAGTATCGCGAAGCGAAGTGACATGAACGAATTCAGGGCGTTAACTTCCCGATCTCTGTTTCCGCGACTCAAGAATTCCCCGTTGGTACGGACCCCGTGGAGCACAGAAAGGACCTTTTTTTCGAATTTTTTCAATCGTGGTTTCACTTAAAACCGATTCACATAACAATTATAATCACTTATAGAAATCAGCTGTTTTACCATATTGCTATCTAAAATCGTGAATTTTCATAAATTTTCAGAATGAGTAATATTTATAATTGCACTAAAAACTATTTCGAATCTTTCTAAGTGAACATAAATTACGCAGCAAATTCGGAAAACTGTCGATTGATCAACGATCGCCGTTGAATCAGGCAGGTCACCAGAAGGCGTTCAGCACGAACGAGACGACAGGATTATGGGAACCGTTTCGATCGATCTACGAGCATTGGACAGGGACGAAAGGCGAGCCAAGCTGGGTGGAGGTGCTCGTGCCAAGGGATCCGCGCGACAGAACGTTGAGTCGAATGATCAGCAAGCAACCGGAAAAAGGGAGGGTCGTTTACGGGGTACGATGCAACAGGCCGCCGCCGCGAATCGTACGAATAATGGTGGACGATTTTCGTCGGCGAATGATGAAGTCGTATTCCAAGAGCTGAATCTCGCCGCCTATCCGAGGAACAAACGGAACGGGAAGAAGAAGTCGCGGAACCGAAATCGCAGAGTCACATTCGCTGTCTGAATTATTTCTTCTTTTAGCATGAATAAATTAAAGAGAAGCACGATTTAAACTTGCGATATTCCATACCGAAATATGTATAGACTGGAGAGGGAAGCGAGGAGATACAGTACCCAGGCCAAAAGTATAGAATCGGCTTTAGGTTTTTTTTTTTTCTAGTCTTGTTCGGAGCGCCATGAGTCACCTATCAACTTGTTAATTATGTTGTAACGGTGGGGATATAACTTATCAAATAAACGACCATTTGTCAAGTTACGAAGCTGGGAATTTCTGAAAAAATTGGCTTTATTTTAATCCACGAAGTAAGTTATGCTGAGGGGTGAACACCGAATACATATATTGGATTTAACAGGTTCAGCGTTTTGAATGAAAAACAACAATGAATGAACACTTACGAGATTTTGTAACTATTATAGTCGAATTTTAAGTGATAATAATACTAATAAATATTTGGTACATGAAAATTAAATTTCTAAATATCTATACCTGTTTGTAACATGAACTAAATTAAAAAGAGCAAAAAAAGAGATTTCACCAGTGATTGAATAATTGAATGTTTTTAACCAGTTGCGCGAAAATTGTTTGAATGTGGTAGCAAGGAATTAAAAAAAATGAATATTCAATCACTGGTACGTGTTCATTTACTGGTGCGTCCACCCTATATAGTAGATTGAATTTTCGATGAATCGACGTCGAGAATCGATTCGCCACTGTTTTCCCGATCCCCGACTGTTCCCCCCCCCCCCCCCCCCAATATCCTTTTACGCCAATAAATATATACACATTCGTCGCTGACAAACTCAATTTTCACGATTGGTTCGACAATGAACGGATTCAAGACTTTGGTACTTCAAGATCTTCCCCATGTTTTACCTCCGAAGGGTCTCCATATATCCACAAAGGTAACCACTAAATCATTCATCACCGAATCATCGTCATTATTGTCATCTGAATAAAAAAACAGACTAAGCAAAAAAATCCATCGGACATTAATATCCTCTAACCAATATACATGTGTGTCAGACTTCCAGCAATTTCGTTATGCCTTCTAACATTCACTGCATACTCGATAAGTGTCCCAATATCTACTACATACTCGATAAGTGTCCTAACACATACTTACGAGCAGAAGTGTACACAGAACTGTACATGCAACGTTTTTTCCACAACCATCAATAATTTAACAATCTCTATTCCCGTTTACTTCGTATTCGATAAGTGTCCCGATCGTTCAAAATAAACAATTTCCAGGGGAGGGGGAGTGGGTGAAAAAAGCAACGACTTTTACTCTGGCCACTGTTCCAGCTGCCGTCCGCTCATCTGCACACCGCGACCACAGCCCGTCGTTTCTGGAATTTCTTCGAGTTCGCCGGGAAAGAAGATGGGTCCCGTGGCATGAAGCAGCAGGATCTGTCGAGGCAGTTTGTAGGATCGGAACCGATGGTTAACGAAACAGAGGAAGTGTCCAGAATTGGGTCCGCGAGCATCCCGAGTGTGGCGGGAGTCGCCTCGATGACGCCGAAATTGCATAGTTGTCAGTTCGATCTGACCGGTGCGCGACGTGTGAGCTACCTGAACATCCCCAAGCCGATCAACGAGGACAGCCTGATGTCCCTGCTGGATGGTAATCCCGTTCCGAGAACGCTCAAGTGGAAGCTAAAAGGCTACAAGACGTTACGGTATCAGCCATCGGACGACGTCGGTTTCGTGCCCGGCAGTAAGCACCAGCTGGACGTGGACTTCCTTACGAGTAGCTACATGAACGACCTACCAGAGACATCCACGTTCTCGAACGCTCTGGGCACTTTGGAACCGGCCGAAGGGTCCATTCGTACGTCATCGAAATTGCTTGAGAAAGTTAGCGAGAATAGCGCAGCGAGTCCAGTGAAAACGATCGAAACCGAGAAACTGGAGGATGGGGAAACTATGGAAATGAAATATATGTTCGACAGCGATACCGTCAAGGTGAAGAGTATTATAGTAAAAGGTGTTAAGGAAGAGAATGCAGTGGAGGATCCCATGATATCAAAGGGACAGACGGTAGAAAATATAGGGAAATCGTGGCCAAGTTCTGGACAGAAGTGCCTCGTTGGGCAGAAGCTGCTAGCGGTTCCGAAAACGGAGAACATCAAGTACCTGCCGATCTCGAAGCCCGAGTTGCCAGCGGTACCGTTGATGCATCACCTGCAGCCATCCGTCCAGTACTCCTCGCGACCGCCCGATGACTTCCGGGAGTCACGTTTACCGCAACAAGAGGAAATAACCGCTGGAAGGAAACCTCCGATGAAACGTTACGAGCAGGATCCTGACTATTCTTCCGACATCTGTCGAGAAGCTACCGAACAGGGGACACATTCGATGGACCGACAAGCGGTAGCCAAAGAGTCATCCTGGCGGACGGAGGATCTGGACAATTACCCTGAGGACTTTGGGCAACAAGAACTGGAGACCAAACCCACCGAGGTGACCCGTTACGGTCGACATTCCTCGATGTCTGAGAAGAAATCAACAGATTATCAGGACCATTCGGTCAAGAACACTGGCCAAAGGACATCGCTTGATGCTGATCCATCCGAGTATTTCGCGCCCAAGTCATGGAAGTCCCGTTTCCAAAAGGGATCCGATCAGAAAAGTCTGCACGAAGTTTACGAATCGATAGGGATCGACTTTGGCGAGACGGCGCCGTTGAAGATCAGCAGTCCAGCCGAAGGACAGCAAGGAACTACTACGTCACCGTGCGCGGCGACCCACGCGAAACTCCAACGAAATGGCGGGAACGCGCCGAAACGGGCGACAGGTTCGTCTGGACCACTCGATGGATCCTCGATGTCGGGGAACAACGGAGGTTCCAGGAAACCACCCGCAGCTGCGTATCCGCCGTTCACAACTAGACGATCCTCCTCGTCGAACACTTCGCTGCTGACCAGGCCTGTTCGCGTAACAACGAATCCGGCCAGACGATCGACAGTCAATCCGAAAACGTCCACCTCGAGTATCTCCACGGGAGCCAGGAGGCTGAGACAGAAGTGCCGCGACGAGGATCCAGACGACACGTGTCAGGGAAAGACGATTTGCACGAAACCACGGGACGTTTGCAAAAAGAGACCGTCATGCGGCCAGACCGTGAAAAAGAAGTGCAAGCGTTATTGCTGTCCCGCGTTGCAGACATCGCCCGAGTGCGACTGGGACAGGGTAAATCGCGAAATTAAACGTTAATGTTGCGATATTTCTGTTCGATTCTACTTTCCACGAATTGGTCCCCGGATCTTTTGGCGTTTCACGATCCAAACACGAATTGTGAAGCGGAATTGCTCTGTATCGCCTACGGTTTTACGAAGAACACGAGTCTTTTGTTGTATGATTTTCTGGGATACAACTGTATTGGTGTTGTGTGAAAGTTAAAACCGATTGGTAGTTCAATTTAGTTTTGAAACATAGGAGATTTTATTAAGAATTCGTGTTCCGATGATGGAGCAGTTCTGCCTCCGTATTCCTTGTTTAGGATGAGAAACTCCACTAGAGCCTGGCTCAGATTCATGTAATTTATTAGGGATCTAATACGATGAAAATTCGGTAAAAATTGAATCGGCAAAATATTGTCGGTCTCAGAATACGGACGGTTTAATGACACCAAAGCTACTATTAGTGGAGTAATAAAGACGAAATCGTTGATAGGTAACTTTGTACTTTCAGTTCCAGTGCGGCAAACAGCAGAAGAAAGACGATTGCTGCGAAAGAAGACCGCAGAGGAAGTCCATGAAGAAGAAGGTAGATTCCACGTGTCTGCCGCCCGATGAGTCCGAAGGCGGTCGGGAGATTTGCACCAATCCTAGGAGGAACGTACGGTCCTGCGAAAGGCGGGACAGGTGCCAAAGGTAAACGTGAAATTCGTACAAGCTGATCGTAGAAGTTGATGACAGGGGTCAATCGCGAGTTGAGTAACATTTCGATGATTCTCTGACAATGTTCTGACGATACCTAACATTTCTTGACATTTGCTGACGTTACTTGATGATTCCTAACGATTCTTAAAAATTCCTGACGTTTCCTGACAATTAACACAACGATTCCTGCGATTCAGGAGGGACAGCTGCCAGGAGCGACCGACCTGCAAACGTGAGCGTCGTAGCTGCGAACGTCGCGATCGTTCCTGCAAGCGACAAGAGAGACGTGAGTGCGACGATCGGTCACAGGGTCGGGAGATCTGCACGAAGCCACGACGTCGTAAATCGTGCGATCGTCGACAGGACTCGTGCGATCGCGATTGCAGCCGGAAATCGGAGAAATGCAACAGGCGGAATTACACGCAGCTAGCGTACTCTGGACGGCCTCGCAATTGCCCTAGCAGGCGCCGTTTCGCCTCGGTGCCCGCCATTGGTTTTTCGTTGGCCGTCAGGACGGCAACGGGGGCGGCTAACGGGCAAACGAAAGAGTCGACGAAAACGTTGCACGGAGTTGGTGGTAGTAGCCTGTCCATAGGTAGATTCTACGGGAAGAAAGGACCATCATCGCCCTGCGGCGGTACGAAATCGACCGACAAATGCAAGAAACCGGCCGCCAAGTGTTTAGACAAGAAACCGTCGGTGAGCAGTTGCAAGACGGAAACGAAGTGCAAGGAGCCTGAAAAGAAGTGTCAGCCTACCTGCGGCAAATCCGAGAAGAAACCAAGTACTTGCAAGACGGGCCAGAGCAAGATCGAGGACATGTGCGCCAAGAAGAGAGCAGAAGTTTGCAAAGGTATTATTTGGAGGTTAGATTCTTGATATAAATTTTCGGCTAAGCCCACGAATGGGTGTCCGAGTACTTAAGTTCGAGTATACCCGTAGATCCGAGTAACAGTAATAACCCTAGTATTCGCAAAACTCGTGGGTTCTGTTCGTGTCTTCAATTTTTCCTCCGTTGAATCGGCCGTAGGTAAGCAAGCGTCGTCGAAGGAGGAGACCGCGAAGGAACGGTCGGAACGGGAACGGAAAGAGATGCAAGAGTGCAAGAAGGACATCTCC